CTTTCTATATATGTGCCACATTTTTAAAGTTCTTTATCATGGAGCCTTGCTTTGCTTGACCTTGAAATTTATTTTCATGAATGTAAAATAGAATGCTGGTTTCAGAATCTTTCACTCATCATGAAGCTTTGGATATTCACTATAATTTTATACTTCGTATTGACATGCTAAGGAAAGTTTTGAGGTAATAAAAAGTTTGTCTGAAGTCATACTCATTTCAGTGACATTGTGTAGATATGAGACATTTTTCTCCATTTCCACAGGAAAAAAATATTCACTCCATAAACTCTACTTAGCAATATTTGTCAAGCTGAAAGTCTTCTTAGAGAAATTAGATGTTCATCACAAACCAATCCCTAAAAACTTAGCTTCGAACTCTTGTTTCTTAATCATCATGAGGCAATTCCTCCTACTAATTTGAGCTTCTGATTTATGAAATCAAGATTCATTTTGTCTACTACTACAACTTTCTAGAGTGTTATTTTATTGCTGTCTAAAGAATTGATTTAAACATCTTTCATGACCTGGAGCCTTCCAAGTGGTGCCAAATCATGCAGATAGTTATCTCTGACTTTATTGAAAATACAGACATCGCTTGATTGTAACAGTTGAGAAATAAATAAATACATAAATCTCAGGTATAGCCTATAGTTTGAGAAGGAAAGTCTTCCAAAACATCACAGATAAATCACTAAAGCAATTTTATTACCTGGTTTAGATGAGACAAAAGGATATCCATCCTTACACCAAAGACTCTAAGAATGTCTTAACACCTGGTTCTTGGTAAAGTCATTTGCAAGTGAAGCATGTTGAGATTCCATCTGGAAACAAGAGGCTAATGTTTCAATTCCATCCTGTGAGGTAGACCTTACACTCCTCCTTGACAGCCATCTGACAGGATGTTTCAATCCTCCCTGCAACAAACAACTACTTCTTGCTGGATGTGTTATAATGCTTCAAATAGTTGTGTGTTGCTTGGCTAAAGGGGTTCTTCTGTTTCCACTAAAAAAAAAATGTAAGGGATAAGATTAAAAAGAGAAAGGTCAGGGTAGGACTCGAATTTAGGAGTCAGGGTCACTTCACACAGATCAAGAGGGCCTTGATCTTCAGAAGGACTAGAATACTTGGAGAGAGATGAGTTGGGCCAGGGGGCAAGGTTGTAAGAGCAGCATCCTGAACTGTAGAGCCAACCACAACATGATCTCTTTGTTACTTTTCTAGAATTGATTTTAGGAAGCAAAATATTTTCTCTAGTAAAGATGTAAATCTCATCACTAGAGCAATGGGAGCTGCCAATGAGGTCACTCAGTCCAGTCAAATTTGGAGATAAATTAGGAGAGCTAGTGTATCCTGGATGGTGTTATAACTTTAGTTTAGCTCTTTGTCAACGCAAGTCTAACACTATTTCCTCCTATTTTCTCCCAGCTTTTCTGCCTTTAAGATCATATCTATATCTTCTGAATGGTAAAAACTTCTTCAGTATGGTTATAATACCACTGATGCTGTGCTGAGAGTCCTGGAAACTTAAATGAAGGGTGTTTGGTGATCTCAGTTCAGTCTCCAGTAAATGTCCACATCACAAAACCACAACACTTAATTGTCGGTGATTGATTATCTCTGCTCAGCTTAAACTCAGGCTTGAATCAGCCAAGGAACTTTATTACCCTCTCTTCCTGTGAGGGTGGTCCAGCCAGGTCAAAGTCGAGGTCAATAATGGGGCAGGAAGGTACTGGCTTTCCCCATAATCAGTTCTCCTTTCTGCCAAACAAAGAATTGCCCTTCTCTGAGATATTGTTTGCACAAACAGTTGTCTTTAGCACTAATAGCAAGCAGCAACACTAAACACAAATAGCATATTGGATCTAACAAAAGTCTTTCCATTACCAAGGATTTGTTCATTACTTAATCTTCCAAGTAAAGTGATAAAAATTATTAAATTATCAAATTCTTTAATAACTTTATAATTGTGTGAATTGATTCACTAATATCAAGTGAAATATTAAATCAAAGTTACAATCTTAAGCAGTAATGTTTAATTGAAAAGCTTTCTATTATACATCACAAGCCCAAGTTTAAACTTATACAATAGTACACTTTGAAATAATAATAAAAAGGATCACAGTTTTACAGAAGGGAATTTTGCATTTAGAGTTACAATGCAAAATCAAAACGTCTATAGTTTTTTATTTTAAGAGTCACATTTTAAAGAAGAACTAAATATTACTCCTGGTAGGGGATTTTAGATTTTACAGTGATGAAAAGAAAGATACTCCATTAGTGCACCAAACATATATAATTACTCTATATGGTTTTAATAGGAAATTATGTCAAAAGAAATATTGATTTTTAATAGTAATGTTAAAATCAGACTCTGAAATAGGTATACAAATTGTTCATAACTCTTTGTTTAGGTATTCTTAATTAAAAACTTTCACACAAATTAGCCAGTTAAATTATGAAAAATATTAAATGCTAAATGATATAATGTTTATGAACTATGCATCATATTTTAAATAACACCTGAATTTGGTAGAATTGGATAAAATTAGGAAAAGAATAAATCTATGGGAAGAATATGATAAAGTTTCACTCTTCAGCCAAATAGGCCTTTGTTTAAAACTATCTTTATCTTTCCTTAGAATGTGGCTTTGTGAAGATATTTAATTTCTGTTAACATTTCCTAGTAAGCAATGAGTTGATGAGGGGCAGGAATTGGAAAAAAAATTTCTACCACAGAGGTAAAGACTCAATGTACTTAATACAAATATAAAGGATGAACTCAAGTTCAAGAAACCATTTATTTTCATAAAAGCACTACTAAAAACAGCTTTAAACAAAAAAGTTTGACTAAATAGTAATCATTTTTTTAAATTCATAATCTTTGTAAAACAATTATATTTAACCAATGGAATAGATTAGAAGATCCAGAAATAAAATCACATACTGACAGTCAGCTGATATTTAACAAAGAAGCCAAAGACATATAGTGGAAGAAGCACAGCCTCTTCAACAGTTGGAGCTGGGAAAACAGGGTGGCCACATGCAGAAAACTGAAAGTGGACCCTAGCCTGTCACCATGCACCAACATCAACTCAAAATGGATTAAAAACCTTAACATCAAACTTGAAACTCTTAAACTACTGCAGGACAGAGTAGGAGAAACACTTGAGCTTATAGGCACCTGCAGGAACAACAAATTGGGGAGAGACTCAACAAATTGGAGAGAGACTCGACAAATGGGACTACTTTATGATAAAAAGTTTCTGCACAGCTAAAGACATAGCTACCAAACTAGAAAGACAGCCAACTAATTGGAAAAAAAATACTTACCAGCAGACAAGAAACTTATCCCTCCCAAATCTAACAAACCAAGGGAGCTAAAGAGAGACTTATCAGAAGAAGATATAAAAATGGCAAAGAAACAAATGAGGAAATGTTCACCATCGCTGGCCATAAAGGAAATGCAAATAAAGACAACCCTGAGATACCACCTTACTCCAGTCAGAATGGCCCACATCCTAAATTCAGACAACGACAAATCCTGGCGGGGATGCGGAAAAAGAGGAACCCTATTTTGCATTGCTGGTGGGAATGTACACTAATACAACCACTGTGGAAAGCACTCTGGAGGCTCTTCAGAAAGCTAAATATAGACCTCCCCTATGACCCAGCCATACCACTCCTAGGCAACTATCCTGAGCAACAGGAATGAGGATACAAGGACACATGCAGCTCCATGTTCATTGCTGCACTGTTCACAATAGCCAAGATATAGAAACAACCCAGATGCCCCACTACAGATGAATGGATCAAAAATTGTGGTATCTATATAGAATGGAAATGCAGCCATTAGAAAAGACAAAATAATGGCATTCACAGGGAAATGGATGGAACTAGAACTAATCATTTTGAATGAGGTAAGCAAAGAGCAGAGAGACAAATGGCACATGGTCTCCCTGATATATGGATGTTAAATCCACAATGCAAGGAGATACAACAACAAAGTAAACAGGACTCAAGACAGAAAGGACCTCCACTCAATTTGTCATATCATTTCTAAATGACTCTATGTTGTGTGTGTGTCTGTGTGTGTGTGATTGCACGCGCACATCTGAGGGAAGCTAGGAGGAAGGAACAGAATCAGAGGAAATGGGAAAATATACAACAGAGGGGTCCATTAGCTGTACTGGACATGATGAAAATAAAATAAGGAACTTAAGGGCAGTGATGGGAAGGAATGAAAGGGAAAGAGGGAACAGCTTACACTAAGCAAAAGGAAAGAAATGTACATATCACCCGATGTGGAAGAAATAGTTATATTATCAAATAGTTATATTATCAAGAAATAGTTATATTATCAAATATTATATTATCAATTGATAATATAACTATTCACAAACATTATAGACCATGATAATGACAGTTTGCCTTGTAAAGGTTAAAATGTGTTTGTGACTTTAACTGAGTATCACTATCTCACAATACTGTGAAAGTCGCAAAATTTATGTAATCACTTAATCTCAATAAAATATTATTAAAAATATATTTGTCTACAGTAGTTTATTTTCTAGGTAACATCTGATTGAGTGGGTTTGATTTTGATATGTACCATGCATGTATTGGGAAATCAATTATATAACTTATAGAGCAGAATAAGGAATAGAATTTCCCTTGTGTTGCAATAGGAATTTGCATAGATGTGGGTGTACTAGTAGACAGAGTAAATGACCCTAGGATTGTCTTCATAGTTTGTCTTGAAATCTTAGCACTTCACTAAGCTTAATTTTATATGGTTACATCACATTGAGCTATTGTGATCCTCTACTAAGAAGATCCTAGGCAAATGAGGGAAAACATGCAGCTTATGTTTCTTTGAGTCTGGCTTATGTTGCTTAATATAATTCTTTCATATATATGTATATAACACATTTTCTTGATCTTTTCATCTACTGAGGGGCTCCAGGGTTAATTCCATATCTTAGCTATGGTAAATAGTGTTGCAGTTTCCTTCCTTCCTTTCTTCTTTCTTTCCTTCTTTTTTCCTTTCTTTCTTTTTTCTTCCTTTCTTTCTTTCATTCGTTCCTTCCTTCCTTTGTTCCTTCATTCCTTCTTTCCTTTTTATTCCCTCCATTGTTTTATTCCCTATGTCATTGTTTTTTATTTCAGTACCTTTTGTCTTGTATACTAGTATATCTGGTTTGGGGAAGGGAATGAGAATCACAAAAAACAAAACAACAACAACAACAAAAAAAACCGGTGGGATAAAGGGTGAATCAATACAACAGTACTACTCACTAGACAATATGTTGGAAATGAACTTTACAACTGGGGGAGGAGGGTGGAGTCTGGAGGGGAAGTGGAGAAAATGGAGAAGGGCAACACTGATCAAAAAGAAATGTATTCATTACCTTGTTTATGTAACTGTAAGCCCTCTTTTCATCACCTTTACAATAAAATTAAATTTTAAAAAAGAGTTTAGCACCCAGTACAGCGTACCATTAGCATAGTTTAGCATTGGCAGTCAATGTATATTACTAGAACAAACAAAATGAATCAATCACACTTTGATTCTCTTAAGAAACCTACAAAGCTTAGTAAAGAATTTGTTTAATGTAAAAAACTTACTACAAGTGTTTTATATGGTCTATTTGATTTTTCCCTCATCATTTTATGTGCATACAAAGTATAGAATCATATGTATTTTAAAAATTGGGGATTATTCATGTGTTTAATTTCTATATTCATACATATATGCATGTTTGCACATATATTCATACATCCATATATATGTATGTGTATATACTATACAACCTCATATTATAATTTTTTGTCCCATTATTATATAATAATGAGTCTGTGCTTAAAGAGAAACTTCTCTGAAGAAGAAAGAAGGATGGCCAATAGACACATGAAGAAATGTTCAACATCCCTAGCCATAAAAGAAATGCAAATCAAAACAACATTGAGATATCACCTCACTCCAGTGAGAACGGCAAAAATCAAGAACTCTAACAACAACAGATGCTGGAGGGGATGTGGACAGAAAGGAACCTTAATTCATTGTTGGTGGGAATGTAAACTTGTTCAACCACTTTGGAAAGCAGTATGGAGGTTCCTCAAAAGACTCCACATAGAGCTCCCCTATGACCCAGCAATCCCACTTTTGGGCATTTACCCTAATGTTTACAAACAAGACCACACTAAAGCTACCAGCACAACTATGTTTATTGCAGCATTATTTACCATAGCTAAGATATGGAACCAACCCAGATGCCCCTCAGTAGATGAATGGATCAAGAAAATGTGGTATATATACACAATGGAATTCTATGCCTCCATCAGAAAGAATGACATTGCCCCATTTGTTAGGAAATGGAAAAACTTGGAAAAAATTATATTAAGTGAAGTAAGCCAGGCCCAAAGAAACGTAGGTCCCATGGTTTCCCTTATTTGTAATATCTAGTATATGTATGAGTCAAGCGGAAAAGGTCAGATAATGTGATGTCAGGAAAATGAACCCTTAGATGTGTATTTTAATGTTTTTTTCTTTCATGCATGTGTTTCTAACACATTTATAAGATTATCTCTTTGTTGCTTTGTATGTCCCTACCCCATAGTATAACCCTTGCTTTCACTATATTTGATGTCAGTATAACTTGTGGAGGAGATGGGGAAAAACCAGTTGTTTAAGGATACAGGTGGACCTGTTGCAACAATGAGAAGTACAAGTTGTCATGTCCAAAACGAATTTTACAATGTTGGTGGGGGGGGGGGGGGGCTGGGGGGAGGGAGGAAGGAGAAGGATTGGGATTAGGGGGGGAGGGGGGAGGCTGGGAAGGGATGTGAAGGATAAACAAAGGAGGAGGCTGCAATGCTTGGTAAGAAATGTACACATTATCCTGCCCATGTAACTGTAACTCCTCTGTACAGTATGTTCACAAATAAAATAAAATTAAATTAAAAAAAAAAAAAAAAAAAAAAAAAAAATAATGAGTCTGTGTTTCAGAGTCTGTTTTGTGATAAGAAATTATCTATGTTATAGTTTATATAGCATTAAAATTGAATGATAATAATTCTCAGTATAGTTGCACAGTTTTTTAAAACGTATTTGAATGCTCAAAATATTAGCTACACATTTTCAATTTGGGAAATAGTGTTTTCAATATTTTAAAAAGTATAGTACTAGATATAAAATATTTATTGAATTAATTTCCAACTTCCTTGGTTTTTATAGTATCCTCATTTTTGATAGAAGACCTAAAATAACAGTGACAGCCAAGCTGCCTTTCTTAAAGCTAAATATTAGCTATCTCAGGTGTTCATCCTCTTTTCCTTTTGCTTGTAAAACATTTTTACTCCTTTTGTCCTGTTCAATTTGACTCATCATTTAGATCACATATGTTTCTTTCTCATGGAGGACTTCCTCATCACCAAACTGTGCCCTGTGTTCTAGTGTTTCCACGTTCTTTTTCTAAGCAAGTGGATATTTGGGGGATTCCTACTATCAACACTTGGCCCTGCTGATGGGCCTTCACAAGGCGCTGTCTGAGGCCTCACCCCTGAATCGTCAGATCCTATCTCAATGCTTGACACATATATAACCTATTATAGATACTGGTTAATGGGATAAATGAATCCATGAATGACTAATACATCTTCTTCAAATATTTCTTCACTAACTTAGGAATCAAATGTAAGTTCAAGTGTCATTTACTGAATAGAAACAGCTTAACTGGCCTTTTTCTTTTTCTTCATATGTGGGATACCTCTTTTTCTGTTTTAATTTGGCTGTTATTTGTTTGTTTTCACTGTTGCTTTTACTGATATTTATTTCGCATACTATTTTAAACAGTTCATGTGAGAGATGAGAACTAGCCTTCATATTTTGTTCATTTTATTTTATTCCTAGTAACTGGATGATAGCTTGTTTTCAGTTCTAGCTTTCTGAAAGTAAGAAAATAAATAAAACTAAATCTGTCATAGGCTTCCTATGAAATTCCAGTCTAGGTAACCACCCTGAAATTCAGTTTTGCTCATGTAGAAGGTATAAACAAGTTGAGAGAACTTTTAGAAGAAAGATGTTTTATAATCAGTTACATGGTATTTATCTTAGTTTATAAGATAAACAAAGCATAAAGATATGAATTTAAATTTTATTTATGTAAAATATATCTCATTAAAGAATGGAGGCATAAGATGAAATCATGAGATTTAAATTTTTGTTGACATATTAAATGAACCTGAACACCTATGAGCCTGGTATTCACTTCTACATTCTAATCTCTAGGATTATCTAAATAGATTCTCTCAATTTTATTCAACTCCTAAGTCTGAAGCTCTCTTCTCCCCTCTGATTTGAGAAGCCCTTTTGAAACAGAGAGTTTACAGTTCAATAAATGTGCTGAACTGTGCAATGCCCCCACAAAGCCCAGGTAATATTCAAGGGTGATTTCTTTTTGTTTAACTTAATCATTGTTAGTGTTGACTCATAATGATCCAAGAGCAACTTGCAATGATGCTTATATGAAAATGTAGCTACATCTTTATGCTTGAATACATTTTAGCACGATCACTAAAATGTTTATCCTGTCATGACTAAAGTATAATATCTTGTTGGAACCACAGTATCACATGAAACTATATGTTTTTATTCTTTACATAATCTAATACTTCGGAGTCATATCAATCTTTCAATATTAAAACATGAATTTATTTTGTGCCTAATACTCTGTTTGGAATGTGCCATATTTTTAGAATTCAGGAGAAACCTCCGGATTGTTTGGTGGGTAATTTTTCATTGTTGTGTCAGGAAATTGTTTTTATTTCCCATGTTTGTCCTCTTATCACTCATCACATCTCACACTTCCAAATCCATTCTGACACTGATAGGCTGACATAATTAATCTTCATAGAAGTTGACACACCGAGCACTGAACAATAAAGAAGAGAGGAAACAAGGTGTCTGAGTGCTGCTCAGCCATCATTGAAAAACAGGAGAAGAGAACATGTACCTCATGTTCAATTACAGAGGAATTTTTTCATAGTTCTATGAAAGGCTGTTTTTGCCTTTATTTATGTATTTATGGAAAATAACCCATACATGGACATAGACATACACTCTAGAATATATGTATAAAAGCATGTGCTATATATTTTTAACAATTAAATATGCATAATTTCATTTATGGTGTGCTTTGTAGAAGAAGCAAACATCAGTTTGCATTAATAACTTTATTCTATCAGAAATCAGTGGCTCACAAGAGAATTCCCTCACTTCTACCAACTCATAGGTCACTGCACATACGTGAAAGTAAAACCAGATCTCAACTCTCAAATTTTAGAAATCTTAGTATTCAGATGTAAAGGAGAAGAAGAAGGAAAAGAAGGAGAGGGGAGAGGAGCAAAGAAAATTGCAATTGTTTTGGTAGTGGTAACAAGAAAAATTTGTATAGTACTCCTTCCAAGCTGAGTATACTTGGCTCGGTTGGCTGTTTTAATTTCAGCAATCACAGTTTGGCAGTTAATTCATCTCTTTTTCTTAACTATAAATTTTCCTGAAGAGTTTTTTAAGTTTTTATTTTAAATAAGAGAGGAAAAAAGTCAAGGAAGAGTTTTTTGAATGCTCAGAAAACACATATGCTAAAGATGTACTAAAAAAATAACATGCTACTTACATCATATGATGTATACTAACATCCGATTAGAAAATCAGATAGATGGCAAGGAAAATAAAAGAGAGTGGGTGGATGGCATGTGTGGGTCTCCAGATTCTGTGAGGAGGAGAGTGAATTCAGAAATGAGCCAAAGAAAGGAGAGGAGATGAAAATTCAAAAAGTGTAAAAGAAGAAAGGAGAGAGCTGGCAATGAGAAGAGTCAAAGAGTCAAAATGTGCAAAGAGGAATTCACAGATACAGTGGGGCAGAGAGGTAGATAACAAGCGATCCCTAAAGGGAGAGAGTTTTGTTTCTGTACTCTGATGAGGTCTCAGGTGTTGTCAGCAACATTCATTTCTTCCCTGAGCTGAATTTGAAGCAAACTCTCTTCTCAGGAGTATGTCTAACATGGGCCTACAAACCCTGACTGTTTTTCTTCTATTTCTGTAAATGACAGGTACACCTGGGCTGACCTTTATGAAACACATTCAATATATAGTACCATTAATTAACTTATTCAACAAATATTTATTGAACACATTAGGTTCCAGGGGCTCTGAAAAGTGCTTAGGTCGGCTCTGAATGAGGAGGGCAATTTCCTGCCCTCTTATGAATCTGAGCTCACCAGTACACACAACTAGTATCCTGGAGGCTCGTGTGAAGGAGGCCATGTTCTTGAATGTTCTCTCATCTGGATGTGGTACTACATTTCACAATTATATCATTTCACAAAAATATCATTATACAAGTTTCACTAAATAAGCTATCTTATTATAGAGAAGAAAACTGTTTCTGTATGCTTTTATGTAGTTCTGGGATTTGAAGTTAAATTAAAAACAATTTTATACATAATTGAGATTTCCAGGTATAAATTACAAAATGAATTATAAAATGAATTATAAAATATATATGAAAACAATGCATAGAAAAATGCATAAAAATGTATGGAAAGCTATATCCAACTTAAGGAAAATGTGCTTACACAAACAACTCAATGGATCACTTGTCTTGTGTGACACAAAGGCACTGAATGGGGAAGTTCACAAAACCCCATGGATTGAGTAACATATTGACATGGAGTAAATCCACATAATGCTCCTGCTAATATACTGAGAGATTTGCGTAAGTTCTTTTCTGTGAAACTGACAGCTCTTAATTATTGGATCCTGATAAATACCTATTACTCTGAGATACGTACTTTATTAAGTAAGCCATTTCAGCAATATAGATTATGATATCCATTTTAGAAATGTGAGACTGACATTCAATGATAGAATAATTTATGCAATTCAGGTAGGTTGGAGGTAACAAAGCCAACATTCAAACTAAAAGTCTGTTTGTATTTAGCATACATTCTATTGAACTTAATTCTTTCTGGTCAAGATGAGTTTACAAGTTGAGATGTTACAAACAAATATACTCAGATAATGAAGCTTTGCTGTTCCACACTGAAATATAATCCTAAAACTACCCACAACTAGTGACCCTGTAATTAACACGTGCATCTGTAAAATTGTATTGCAATGAGTAGAGAACTATTGCTCTGAAAAAACTGTCATCTACAATAGAACATTAAGTTATGAAAATTAAACCTGAACATAAAAACAGTGCTTACCAACTTCCAGCTTGGCAGATCATGATGAAAGGAGATATGTGTGTGTGTGTGTGGGGGGGGTGGTCATGGGGCCTAAACTCTGGGCGCTGTCCCTCAGCTCTTCAGCTCACGGCTAGCACCCTACCACTTGAGTCACAGCACCACTTCTGGCTTTTTCTGCTTATGTGGTGCTGAGGAATCGAACCCAGGGCCTCATGATGCAACAAGGCAAGTGCTCTACCACTGAGCCAACTTCCCAGGCCCTGAAAGCATAATTTTTGATGTAAGCAAAATTAGAACAGTACTCCTATTTTCTGTTTCTTGCCATGATGTTTTGATGGTTCATACCATTGTCTCACTTTACTTAAAAGTTTGACTAGAAATATTGACATCCAACAGATTTCAAGCATTTTACTCATTTGGCTTTTGTTTTATTTAAATCAAGATGCATATACTCATATTCACCCCAGTGGAACAGAAATATCATCCTTTGAATCGAATTGCAGACCATTTCTTTGAAAGAAAAACTTCTTGTTGCCAAGCAACTGTAGATTTTTGAGCCTGAGGACGCAAGAATAAAGAGTAAATAAATTTTACTATCTTTATGAAAACAGTTATCTTGCTGAATCAACTTATAAGCAATGCTATTATTAATCAAAGTAGGGAATATTATGACAGAAACTTTTTTATGAAGCCGTAACTGTGGCCATCTCCTACACCTTTGCCTTTATGGTACTGATAAAAAGTCAGATTTTGAATGGTTTCTGCTGTGAAATGAAGTCCAGTAAACATATAAAAGTCATGTCATAGAAGCCTTTAGAACTGTGTTTCACCCACCATTAAGAAATTTTTATTGTAATGCTAGTGTCTTCTTTTTGCTTGTTGACATCATTCTTTCGTTGAATCCCTTCAAATTGATTTTTCAAACTTAAGACAATGCAGCAGAATTTGTAAACCAAGTTTTCACATTCAAAGTCAATGTAACTTTTTTTTAGGTTACACATTTACCAGTTGGGTTTTTAATTTCTAAAAAAGTAAATTTAGTATATGACTCAGATTTCAGTCTTGTTAGAAAGATTTAAATACTCTGAGGTTCAGAAGTAAGATTTAATTTGTTAAATACTTGTCTTGGTATTTGAAGACAAAGATTCTCTTCTATATTCAGTGTGAAAAAACTGATTTGGGTTTTTTTATAGTATGTACAAAATGCATCTTAAAATATGAATCAAACCGCATAACAAAATGTTTCAGAAATAAGGATTTCTATAAGACTGCTTGGATTTCATTCAGCTATTTAGTTATATACTATTGGCCTAAAATACCCTGTATAGTGAGAACAATGTGAGTTGTCCTAGAAAAATCCAATTCATGGTGTCATGAAGAGGGGAGATGAGCATAAAATATGATATCAGGGAAAAAACCTGCCTTCATAGCTCATGGGTGACTTGTGCCAGAAGACAAGAGCAAAGAGTAGGTGGGGGTTCTTGCAT